ATTGATCAATATTACTGCGCAGCCTTTCTACATTGACATCATCTTAAAAGAGTACTATATTAATATATTAGTTGAAAGGCAGGCAAAAAGGGACTGATAGAAGACATCTGATGATTCAATTATGTCATCATATATTGTTTATCATTGTACAGTTTGGTAGGTTCATTTGACAAACAATTTTCAACTAAGATAGTTCATTAAATCAATTTACACACAGTATCACTATATATATCTATTGATTTAAAGTTTGGGGTCATGTGTACCTATAGTTATACTTATAGAATTTTAAAACTCAGTGCTTGTTGTGTGTTAGTTTTACTGGTTTCCTGGTGACAGGGCAATATTCTCAGTAATTTAGAGTGTGGGCTAGTCACCATGCAAATGTGCAATTCACATCAAAGGCATCTATTGCTAGGGGTGAATAAAATTGACATATTGATGCCAACAACACTGTCCACACAGAGTAAGGTTCGCAGCATAAGACAGAGTTGTATATAAATAAGTTTACCAACTAGAGCACAAAATACCTTTATGCACCATTCTAATGCTAAAACATTTTACTCATGGAACATTGCAAATTAGTGGAAATGAATAAGCCTCAGGGAAGGTGGTTAAGAAACCTAATAACACTGTCTTTTGAGTCCAACATTGCAACTAGTGGATCACACTGTATAACCTTTGTTACACGTATACATGTGTGTATTTGCGTTGTCGTGATTTTTTGCCAAAATGTTTTTCAATAGAAAAGTTAAGGCTACAAGAAGCACAGTAGTAAGTACTGATTATTTTTTAATAGAGATTTATGTACCGGCCGCTGCTGCTATTACACTTGTACAAGCAAATATTTTTTCTTATATGGAAAAATTATGTTGTTTTTGCGATATAGGTTCAAGTTTTTTACGTGCTTTCCAAAAATGCAGCAAATAATTTTGTGACTCTGATGTATGAATTGGAACAAAAGAGTTTGCTCAGAACGCAGGAAATCGCATTTCCGAGGTTCTAGATTTCAAAATTTCGCGGGGGAGGATACCCCCGGACCCCCCGACAAATGCGAGTTCTTATGTATGCATCAGTCAGCTCAGGAGCTGGATCCGCCCCTGTATATATATACCAACTGAGTACTGAGCTCATAGTTTATTCAATTTCTCGATTTATAAACCATTTAACCCCTGCGTATATCAAAGTCGTTTTTGTGTCATATACCCCATTTTCAAACCGCGATAACTGTCGGTTGGAGGAGATCATTGTTTTAAAGTATCAGCTAGAACCGTGACCCTTTCCAAATTCAATGTGTATCTTGCTGAATTTCCCGATTTATAAACTATTTAAGCCGCCAATGCAATTACCCATGCATTTTCAAACCGCAATAACTCGTCAGTTCGAAGTTTGAGGGGGTTATTTATGTTTTGAAGTACCAATAGATGAATAGAAAGAGTAACTCCTCCTGAATTCAATCGATGCTGTTTAACCCCCAAGAATAAAGCATTTAACCCCCGGCGAATATCAAAGCCACTTTTGTGACATGTGCACTGACCCGAAACCAAGGTTAATTCAATGCGTGATTAACATATAACTGAAACATGACGCGACAACCATATAAAACAAAAATCGTGCAATTAAGGTCACAAATAAAACAATTATAAAAAGGTACCTCCCCAAAATCAAAATTTTCAGAGAGAAAAATCGCGATAAACAGCCACAATTTTTCGACAAACATCTCTCAAAGACTCGTAAAGTTCAATTCTGAATATTAATGAATGTTAATAGTTACTTATGTTGCATGCTAATTAGGTTTTATTATTATAATTATAAGGACATGTTTGTGCTATATGCAAATTATCTCTAGGTATTATACAGGGTGTATAAAAAAAACGAAACCTCGGAATTTCCCAAGAAATCGACATTGTTTTAAAGACAAAAGATTTTAGGCGAGTGGGATTTTAAAATAGCACAACTGTCAAAATTACTGCACACGCGAGTGCATAAAGCAAAATTTATGCATTTATTTAATGCACAACAACAGTAATATGATCTATTAGCAATTCGATTTCAATTCCCAGGGGCCTAAAATCTTTTATGCTTAAGAATTGTAAAGTGATTTCTTAGGAAATTCCGAGGTTGCGTTTTTTTATACACCCTGTATAAAATAGATTTTGTTATGTTATTAAACTCATACACAACGTAACATGGTGGCAGTGGTGGGATAGTATTGTGGGATAGTTATCCAACTAAAGTTTATAATGGCGACTTCTTTAAACTTGCCGTTTCCCTTATTGAAGTCAACGGGAGACGATAAACGCGATATTGAAGTGTACGTATGTAGAGGATTTAGTCGATTATTGTGTAATGAACAACTGGTATGGCCCGTCGAAATCAACAGATGATGCAAAATGGATCAAACCTGATAAAGCGATGGCAAGAACAGTTTTAAAATATGGTCTGGGTTTAACCGAGGAAAATCAAACAAAACCGCATTGTGTTATTCAGGCTTTGAAAGAATATTATGGGGCCAGTATTTCGTGTCGGGAGAGAGACAAAAGTTCCTTCGACTAATTCAACAAGACGATGAAACCATTGGAGCATGGGAATCTAGAGTACGAAATCAAGCGGCCCAGCGTGAGTACGAAAATTTCGAAGATGAGCTCATGAGAGATCAGTTTATTGCTGGTCTAGTGTCAGAACAACTTCGTGTCAAACTAATAGGAAAAGGACATCGGCATAGGGACGGCGATCGAAGTAAAGTTTCATTACGTGAAGTGGCCGAAATTGCCAAGGCATATGAAGCAACGACAATAACAAATAAGTTGACGAAAAATGCTTGGGAAAGTCAACAAGAGCGAGTAAATTATTCAAATAGCCAACGAAGGCAGCCGATGAACCGTGACCGTCGTGATTTCACAATACCACAGCAAACAATAACAAGAATGTGCTTTTATTGCGGTTTTCAACATAAACAACCTCGACAGCAATTTTGCCCTGCTTTTAGAAAGCGATGTAACAAATGTGGAGTGCTTGGACATTTCGCAAGAGTTTGTAAAAGTGAACGAAGTTATCACATGCGCGAGGAAAAAGCTAACCAAGTTCAAGATGAATTAAACGAAGAACTATTTGCCGTGGAGAACAATAAAGACAATGGCAGTGCAAAGAAATTCTTTGCTAATTTAACATTGCTTAAGAAAAGAAAAAATCGAGTGATTAGAGCTCAAATTGATTCGGGAGCTACTTGCAATACAATGCCGTTAAATTGGTTGCGGAAGAATTTTCCGGGATGTAAATTAGGAAGGACTTTGGCAACAATATGCACATATGGAAATCAGAAAATTGCACCCAAAGGACAAGTTACATTATGTTGTGAAGCACCATAAGTGCACTTGTTAGACTTTCTGGTCGTTGATGTGGCGGAAGAAAAGCCAGCATTGTTGAGTGGTTGCGATGCACAGAAGATGGGGGTATTGAAGATTTATGCTGACGAGGTTCAAGCAGTTGATGTTGAAAGTGAAAGAAAAGGGACCGACCTTCCTCCGTTGGGGCAGCTAACCAAAGAATCGATTATTACGCATTATGGGGATGTTTTCAAGCCAGGAAGGGGAAAACCTCTCGGCGATCCTTTGCATATCGAGGTTGATCCAAGTGTTAAGCCTGTATAAAGCCCACGAAGAAGAATCCCCGTAGCAAAAATGGAAAGAGTAAATAAGGAATTGGAAAGATTGTGTGAAGAAGACACGATAGCTCAAGTATAACGCAGCCCACAGAATGGTTATCTAATATGTTGGTGAGAGAAAAACCAGACGGGAGAATCCGAATTTGTATAGATCCAAGTCGGACTGTAAATAAG